CGGAAACCTGCCTGGCCCTCACTAATGCTATGTTCCTTCTCCAATACTCCCACTATCCTATCGTTCAGCAGCTTACAGAACACTTTTCCTACTGTGTTCAACAGTGTGATCCCCCTGTAGTTTCCTGGGTCAGTCTTGTCTCCTTTCTTCAACAAGTTCACAACCTTGCGTATGGATGACAGCTGCATATGACTAAATTAACTTTCTGGTGCTCTAACTTCCAGAGACAGTTGTAAGCACTGTGTAACTGCCTCGAGGGTGCTTGACCATTTAGCACAACGTGGTGCGATCATCCTCCTTGCGTGGAGTGAGGCTTCTCGACCCCGCACAACATTACCTACTCGACCACCATTCATGGTTACCGCAACACAAAACCATAGGTGAAAATAACACGGTAACCTGGTTGCCGAGATCACGAAGTGAATTGGATTGTTTTACAACGTCGCGATGGCGAACACCGACGGGGCGGGGGGGTGTACTCATAGTCGTGCATGCCGTAGTCGTTAGACCATTGACCTCGCATCCCTACAAAGCCGGGACGGAGCACGCCGGGTTCTCACCGGACCAGGCTCTCACATCACCAAGCGCGAAGCGCCGTGAGATATTCGGCGAGTCGCATGAAGGGTGCGCTGCATCCTGCTAAGGGTTTTCGGCATCTTGTGCTTACTTCCTTGCGTACGGATGGCAGCTGCGTATGACTCAATATATTTTCTGGTGCTCNGAACACTTTTCCTACTGTGTTCAACAGTGTGATCCCCCTGTAGTTTCCTGGGTCAGTCTTGTCTCCTTTCTTCAACAAGTTCACAACCTTGCGTATGGATGACAGCTGCATATGACTAAATTAACTTTCTGGTGCTCTAACTTCCAGAGACAGTTGTAAGCACTGTGTAACTGCCTCGAGGGTGCTTGACCATTTAGCACAACGTGGTGCGATCATCCTCCTTGCGTGGAGTGAGGCTTCTCGACCCCGCACAACATTACCTACTCGACCACCATTCATGGTTACCGCAACACAAAACCATAGGTGAAAATAACACGGTAACCTGGTTGCCGAGATCACGAAGTGAATTGGATTGTTTTACAACGTCGCGATGGCGAACACCGACGGGGCGGGGGGGTGTACTCATAGTCGTGCATGCCGTAGTCGTTAGACCATTGACCTCGCATCCCTACACAGCCGGGACAGAGCACGCCGGGTTCTCACCAGACCAGGCTCTCACATCACCAAGCGCGGAGCGCCGTGAGATATTCGGCGAGTCGCATGAAGGGTGCGCTGCATCATGCAAAGGGTGTTCGGCATCTTGTGCTTACTTCCTTGCGTACGGATGGCAGCTGCGTATGACTCAATATATTTTCTGGTGCTCTCACTTCCAGAGACAGTTGTAAGCACTGCGTAACTGCCTCGAGGGTGCTTGACCATTTTAGCACAACGTGGTGTGATCATCCCCCTTGCGTGGAGTGAGGCTTCTCGACCCCGCGCAACATTACCTACTCGATCACCATTATGGTTACCGCAACACAAAACCATAGGTGAAAATAACACGGTAACCTGGTTGCCGAGATCACGAAGTGAATTGGATTGTTTT